ACATCGCGGCTTCTTCACGCAATGTCTTTATGCTGAAGATTCTCCGAGACTCCGGCAAAAGTCATGGCTCTGCCCCCGAAGAGCTGAACGCATTCGTGTGGTTATTCCGGGGCCTCGGAGAAGCACTTTGCTCTAAATGCTTCCGGAGCTCAGGGCGTGGGCGGAGAGGCCCCCAGTAAGAGCACCACCGCGTGGGCATTTGTGAACTCCCCAGGCTGGAGGATGGGGTTGCCGCGACTGCCCCCCCAACCCACCCTCTGGGAGCCAGGCCATGCCTCCAGTTAACCTTTCCCGTCCCGCGGCCCTGGAGCTGGGGGATGGCCTTCCAGAAGAAGCAAGACGCATGACCAGGAGAGAGGCGCAGGATCAGAAACTGTAATTCAACCTAATATTTGAGGGTTGGCAAGTGTGCCTATGGGATTTCACGAAAAGCCCTGAATCTTTTTCATTTCAGAGCAATTAAGCAGACCCCAGCGTCCTGGCTCCAGTAAGCCGCTCAGCTCTCAGTTTTATGGCCCGTTTCCTTCCCCTTGGCCAGCACCAGCTCCCATCCTTGCCCTTGAAATAAAAAACCCATACTGCGTCGGTGCCACCGAGGGGCCTCCAGCAGCAAGTGTGGGCCGCTGGGGTGCACGTGGCCCCGAGCCGCGCAGGCAGCGATGTGTGGTATAATCAGAAACATCCAACAGTAATTTAATAGTTCCCACCGAGCACAGACACAAAGTCTAGCGAGTCTTCCCTCCGCATACTTAACCCTTGGAGGAGGGGAGCAGGGCCAAGAGAAAGGGGAAATTAATCCCTTTTAGTGGCTACCCTGGGATTTTTTTTTTTTTTTTTTTTTTTTTTGCCTTTTTTTTTTCTGCTCTGATGTGAGAAAGATGTGAGCTCTGGAAGCCTACGGGGAGCAGGAATTTATATTAAAATGCCCTCCTCGAGCAGGGAAAGGCGGGGAGGACCCTGGTTGGGGGGTGGGGTGCTCTTGCAAGGTTAGCAGGGCTGTGGTCAAGGGGGCGCACTTGCTACAGATGATTCTGAATTCGGATTTGATACACCCGTGGGGCCATTGGTTTACTAGAATCTGAGACCACAGAGTCTATTAGCAGATGAGAGAGGCCTGGCTGTCTTTCCCCAGCCCTCTGGTTCAGGGCTGCCCCTCCGGGGTGTGGACGTGAGTGAGCAACACTGCTCAGGACCGCTGGCCGTGGGGGCTGTGGGTGTCTCCCTCAGCCAGTCCCGTTCTAACCTGTGAAGGCATTTGATAATGAGGCAAGTGACAAAATTGGAGGCATGAGCTTTGGAATAATTTTCTCTTCCAGCCAGAGGTTTTGATTTTAAGTTAAAAATACGTTTCCCTAAATTTCTTGAATAGGAACGCACCTTTAGCAACTATTTCATGTCTGGTGAGACTGGCCAGTGACAGCTCTTACCTTGCTGTGCCTTGTCATCCACATCTGTGGACTCACCTACGCCTGCCGTCACTGATGTTCCAGTCTCTGTTGGGCAGTCCAAATAAACACACACATATGTACACACACACGCACACAAAGAGGTCATTTCTCATGCTGACTATTCATCAAACAAGGGTACTTTGAAAAGTTCATGGGAAATGGAATTACAAATAAGCTATTTAAGTGCAGACAGCTTGGGAATCTGTGTATTTTTTTTCATAATGCACATTTTCCATGAACTTCTTAAAGACCCCGCATGTACCTACAGTACACGTGGCTTTGTGCTGCACGAAATAAGGTTCCCAAAACTTGGCTCAGCAAGTATGGAGCCTGGGATTTTTTTTTATTCTTTTTTTTTTTTTCATTTTTTGCCAGGCAGATTTTTAGACAGTGAGAGAGAGAAACACAGAGAGAGAGTTATAGATAGTGAGAGAGAGACAGAAAGAAAGGTCTTCCTTCCGTTGGTTCACTCCCCTAATGGCCACTATGGCCAGTGCTGTGCCGATCCAAAGCCAGGAGCCGGGTACTTCCTCCTATGCAGGTGCAGGGACCCAAGCACTTGGGCCATCCTCCTCTGCCCTCCTGGGCCACAGCAGAGAGCTGGACTGGAAGAGGAGCAACAGGGACAGAATCCAGCGCCCCAACCGGAACTAGAACCTGGGGTGCCGGCACCGCAGGCAGAGGATTAGCCAGGTGAGCCACAGCGCTGGCTTTTTTTTATTCTTAAGGGTACCCAGGTTTCTCTGAGTTGAAGCCAGAATCACCAGCAGAACATGCCTTTGCATCTCTGCTGCCGGCCCTTTTGGAAGGCAGCTATGCTAAGCACTATACCACCAACGCACTGCCGGCCCTTTTGAAGCACGCTGCTGGTGCACTGCTCCTGGGAGGGCCTCACGTCGGGAAGGGACACAGCCTGGCTTCAGCACTTTGGTAAGCAGTGGGACCTACAGAAACGGGGAACCTCTCGGTGTGCTTCATTTGTCTGCACAGAATATACTGATATCTGCATATCTTTCCTAGGCAATTTCTGTGCATGGGGAAGGAGTTCACATTTGCAAAGTATTTGGAACAGGCAGTGATGCGCTAGAGGAATTAGTGACTGATGGGATTGCCAAGGACTTGCACAGCCTTGGTGGAGAATCAATCAGGGAGGCTCTCTTGGAGGCAGAGGCCTATGAAGGCCTGGTAGGGCAAGGGCTGAATCCCACATGGGAAAAAGAGCCTTGGCCACAGGGTGCAGACAGGATTGATCGGGAGACGTGCAAAGATCACAGAAAATTCACAGTGGTGTGCTTGTTTATGAATTAACAACCAGCCCAATATTTCTATTTGACAGATACACGATAACTCATGTCAAACAACCTGCTCTACCTTTCAACAGCTGCCTCAGTGAACAGAGGAGGGGCGTGTGCATCCTCAGGTGGGATGGATGCTTCTCCAGCCAGCACTGGCTCACTTCTCCCCCCAGGTCTGGCATCCTAAATCCACAGCCCTGCGGGCTCCTGGGACTGGACACGTGTACTTCCATTCCCTCGCCCCTTGGGAAAGGGAGCCAGGAAGAGGCCAGTCAGTGGCCTGCTGTGCATCTTGGCCAGGACGGGAAACCTCAGCTCCAGACGGAAGGGTCCTGGCATATGTGTGGGGGTGACCAGAATGTTCTCTGTTATACATAAAACATCTGACGTCTACATTTACATCACATATTAATGCATGCATGATATAAACTTGCATATTTGATCACACATCAATGCATGAGGTCTTTCTTGTTAATTTGCATATTTGATCAATTTGCACAATTTTATGAGAAACACCTGTGACTCTGATTGGTAGCGGGAGCCAGACTGGATGGCTCTGAGAATCGAAGCTTCTCCTAGGGACCAGTGTTTTCCCTTGCATTCAGGAACAGTGCTTGGTTGTGAAATGTGTCTTCAATGACAGCATCTAACATCTGTTCCAAAAAAGAACAACCTCCCAAGAGAAGTCCAGGAACCCGAAGCAATCACAGCAAGAGGATGTGCTGTGCCAGACCAATCCGGACCCGGCATGCTCCTCTCTCTCTCCCTCTCTCTTGCCTCTCTGACTTCAAATGTTGGTGAGGAATGTACAACTCCAAGGGAGCCATCTGCCTGTGGTTCCTTTTTGGTGTGTTGCCACCCACAGGCATGAGCCCAGTCCCGAACTCAGTCACTCTGTGATCCTGGCCAGGCCTTGAGGAGAGGGCACGAAACTGGGGGCTTCTGTGTCCTTCTCTCATCCCTCACATTCCTAGCAAATCCAAGTGCAGGTTGTGTGAGATGGCCTTGGCTGAGGGGCCAGCTGTCGTTGGGCCCCACCAGGATTTGGGCCATGGCTGAGGCTCCAGTGTCTGCTTTGGTCCTAGTGTCCCAGGCACTCACCCATCACCCCACCATGGTCTTCCTGATCCAGGCACACTGCCACCAGGTAGCTGCCTGAGTTACCAAAGGCTGTCTCCACCCACTGCCAGCCCACTGGTCACCCAGCCACCTCTACACCCAGGCCTCAGCAAGGATTGTTCTACTTGGGTGGCTTAAGTCACTCAACCTTGGCCTTATGCCTGTAGCTCCACCCAGAGCATCCAGTAATTGCCTCAAAATGCAATGTTCTCAGCATGTGCAAGAGCCTTTTTACAATAAAATAGCCTTGCTTTATTGGTGTGTGTCATCTTTTTTCTATCCAGAATCACTTTTCACAGAGCCTCCTCACAGCGGCCAGGGAGGCCCGATGTCACAGGCCCTGAGCAGCACACGTTTCCCCAACAACTCCCATAGGCTGAGAACAGTTCCAGAAAACCCCAGGGACTCCAATCACGGCACCCACTCTCTGCCCATAAAGCACTCCCCCTGCCCTCTCCTATCTCTCGGGCTTCCTGCTTCCTCACTGCTTTCTAAATCAAAGCAATGTATTTATCCTGGAACTCAACCCTTTTTGAGCCAGTGTGGTAATTCTCCAGGCATTTGCATTTCCAGATTTTTATCTCCAATCATTAAATGAAAGCTTTGTGTCTTGTTGAAGGAATGTCTGGTTGGAGGGAAGGATTTTTGGGTAAATCCTCCTTACACCTAAAATCACATCAAGACTTCTGCGTGCCTGGATCTGAAAGAGCTAAGGGCGCCGAGCTGGTGATCCGCTGCCTGGCCCCCGTGGCCCCTCACCCTGGACCCTGCCCTCAAATCTGTCACCCGGACTGTACAGTGGGTAAAAAGAAACACACAGCCAATTCACCTGCACCCTTCCTGTGCCACTGACACACAAGGCACTGACAGGGCCTTGAGGCCACCAAGGCCAGAGGTGAATGGATGTGGAGAGGTGCAGAGGAAGCTGGAGCAGGGCTGGCCAGGCCCAGGAAGACCTAGCTGACACAGCCCTTCCAGATCTGCACCAGGCTCAGTGGCAACTCTCAGCCACATACAGCACCAGGAAAGCCAGAGTGACACCAGTGCCAAATGCTAGAGACCCAATAAGATAGGAGAAAACATTTGGAAGATGACTTGCCTGTGAGAAAGCTGTACTGATTATAGCTATTTAGGTTACCTGCTCATCATTCATGCCTAATTATCTTGCAGCCCAGTAATGACGATGCACATCAGGAAATGTGTGTCAGATCAACCCTCTTTTGATTACAGCGGCAAATCCTGCAAATGGATGACCACTTGATCTTCATAATTAGTTCCTTCTGTGGCTCTGTCTACTTGGGCAGCAAGGTTTTATGCATTTGTCCTAAAATAAATGAAATGGATAGAATATAATAAAAATAACATGGAGAGGGATACACCACCACCATACCTACCCGCAAAGCTTACATGAGCAGGCCCTGTACCTAGGAGCACAGAAAACCTAGTCCACAGCTCTTTTTTCTCTGTTCCTTATCTCCAGTGCCCAGAATAGCAGCACACACTGTAGGTGCTTAATAAATGTTTAATAAGAGAATAGGAAACAAATGACTGAAAGTGAATGTATAATCAGTGGAGGATTAAATTTGACAATTCTGCTCTGACACAGGGATGCCTCAGGGAGGTGAAGGATGGCTCCCGCACAGGTGAGAGTGTCCAGCTGGCCTCCAGAGTCGGTACCCTGGCTCCATCACTAGTTTTTGGAGCCTCTGTTTTTCTCTTCCGAAAGCAAGCATCTTACTCATCTCACAGGATTCCTGAGAGGATGAAACAGGTTTCCAAAAGCACTTGGTAAATGCTAATGCTCAAGAAATCCTAGGCCAGCCTCTTAGGCCATTTGTGTGCATTTCCATAAGAATTTCTTACTGTAGATGCTGTAATGTGGTACTTCCAGGTTTCGTGGTGAAATCTCATCCCCTTTGCGGTGGTACTAAGAGGTAGGGCCTTTGGGGACATGACTAAGTCACTGAGGCTATGCCCTCATGGATGCTTTAAATGCCTTGTGAAAGCTGCTCGGGACTGGACTGGCACTGTGGCTTTGGGGTTGGGAAATGGGCAAAGACTGGAAGAAGTTTGAGGAGCATGCTAGGAAAAAGCCCAGATTTCCACCCGAGGAGCCCTAAGGGCAGTGATGGTGAAGGTTCAGAAGAGGAGAGCTGTAGAGAAAGCTCAGTCTGAGAAATGATTTCAGTGGCTGTGAGGAAAATGCTGGTGGATACATTCTTCTGATGGGGTCTTAGACAGAAGTGAGGAACATGTGATGGAAAATAGGAGGCAAGGCCATCCATCTACCAAAGTGGCAAAGAATCGGACTGAACCATGTCCATGTCCTAGAACTTGGTGGAAGGCAGAATTTAAAAGCAATTACCTAGGATGTTTAGTGGACCAAATCTCTAAGCAGAGTGTCCAGGGTGCTGCGTGGCTTCTCTTGGCTGTTTTCAGTAAATTTCAGAAGAGAGAGATGAATTAAGGATGGAACTTAGAATCCAAATGGGAGTCTAATTTGAAGATTCGGAAAATGTGGGAGCAGGTCATTAACCTGTACCATTTAAAAGGCCCACATCCCAAATCAGAGAGCCTAGGTTCCATTTCTAGTTCTGCTCCAGAATCCCAACTTCCCACCAATGCAGACCCTGGGAGGCACCAGTAATGGCTCAAATAGTTGGGTCTCTGTCACTCAGTGAGAGACTTAGATTTTGATCCTAGCTCTTAGCTACAGTATTGACTGCTGTGGGCATTTGGGGAGTAAACCAATGGCCAAGAGCTCTATCTGTCTCTCCCTCTCTCTGTCTCTGTCTGTCTGCCTCTGCCTCTCAAACAGATAATAAAATAAAAAATTTTTTTAGAAAACCATCCACCTGGCCATGCAAAGAATACAAAAGCACACTGAGAGAGAGACAACCAAGGGTATGGCCAAGTGACTGGACAGAAGGAAGCCAAGAGCTATTCATTAAGACCATGGAAGAATGACCCACAGACATTTGAAGAGATCTTCAAGGCTGCTGTGTCCAGCCAGGTCCAGAGTGCCAGGCTCCTGAGGAGAGAAGGTTTTTCAAGGAGGACCCAGGGAACCCATGGGATCATGGAGCTTTCTGCCCAGGGCTGCTCCAGTCTCTGCCCCCACGTTCTGGCATGGCATTCCTCGGGATGTCCTAGATGTCTCTCTAGAAGGGACAGGCCATAAGACATGGCACTGACTTTGCAGGCATGCAGAGTACATAAGCTGTGGAGGCATGGCTACCTCCACCTAGATTCTAAAGAATGCCCCAGTTGGGGCTGGTGTTGTGGCACAGCAGGTATAAATAAATATATATATAAATACATATGATGTCACCTGCAATGCTGACATCCTATATAGGTGCTAGTTCGGGTCCTGGCTGCTACAGTTCCAATGCAGCTCCCTACTAATGTGCAGGGGAAAGCAACAGCAGATGGCCTAAGTGCTTGGGTCACTTAAGTGAGAGACCCTGTTGAAGCTCCTGGCTTCAATCCTGGCCACTGTAACTATCTGGGAAGTGAGCCAGTGGGTGGAAGATTCTCTCTCTCTCTCTCTCCCTCTCTCCCCCTCTCTCCCTCTCTCTCCCTCTCCCCTCCGTGTGTGTGTGTGTGTGTGTGTGTGTGTGTAACTCCATCTTTCACATAAACAAATAAATCTCTTAAATCTTTTTTAAAAGACTGCCTCAGAGATCCTGGAGGACCAGGCAGAGAAAAGCCACAGTGTCAGGGCCATCACAGAGAGTCCTCACCAGTGCAATGTCAAGTGGGGTTTTGGGAGCAGAGCCTCTTACAAGGCCTCAGAAGCATGCAGCCACTAAAGTACTGTCCCAGTGCAAAAGAGCTGCAGGAACATGACTCCAACCCAGAGACCTACCATGTAGACCACGCCCTACACTGTAAAGTTGTGGGGGACCCAACACAGTATATCCAGAAGCCAGTATGTGAAGTCAGAGAAGATTATCCTCAAGGCTGAAGATTTGATATTTGTCCTGCTGGGTATTGGACTTACTTAGGAACTTGGACTCCATTCTTCCTACCTATTTCTCCCTTTTGAAATGGGAACATCTATCCTGTGCCTGTCCCACTACTGTCTGTTAGAGGAACATAACTTACATGATGTCACAGACCCACAACTAGAGGCAATTGGCCTTGGAATGGATTGTACCTTGGGTCTCTCCCACATGTGACTTAGATGAGATTTGGGACATCGAACTAAAGATGGTGCTGGTGTGAGAGAAGGCTTTGGAGAAGGAATGAATATATTTTGTGTATGAGAAGGATGCAGCTGGGGCAGAATGCTGTGGTTTAAACGTGTGTCCCCTCACCACCACGAAATCCCCACTGAAACCTAATCCAGGCTGCGGTGGTCTGCAGAGGTGGGGCCTTTGGGGAAGTGATTAAGTTGTGAGAGCCCTGCCCTCATGAATGAATGATTGCCCTTATAAAAGAGGCATTTTATGCAAAACAAGCCTTGCACAAAAAGCCTCTCTTGCTCTTCCATTCTCTGCTCTTGGGGGGTCACAGTGTTCACCTGCCCATCAGTCCTTTCCACAACACGGGGGACACAGCAGCCACCCTGGAAGCAGAGAGCCGCTCTCCACATATAACAATGTCAAAGCCTTGATCTTGGACTTCCCAGCTTCCAGAACTGTGAAAAGAAAATTCTATTTACAAATTCCCCATTCTAAGGCATCTTGTTAGAGTGGTACACATGGTCTAGCAGACTCTAGGGTAACTACCTCAGTCACTCCTTCTGTGGAATCACACTAGATAAGGGATGAAATGCACAATCAGGCCTTGCGTTTCAGAGAGAACTATCTCAGAATGTTGTTCTTCAACTCACCAAAGTCCGAATAAAAGGGAAGCCCCTTGTGCACCAGGCATGAGAGCATCTGGGGGCTCTGGGGTTGGGTGCAAGCTTCTTTAGGTCCCAGGAAGAGTCATGCTGAATGCAGACCTCACGCCCATCTTCACCTGCCCAGCCTCCTAACCCAGCCTAGTGTCTGCTCTTAGCATGGCACACTGAAGGGACACGCTCCGGATTCAACTGGTCCACACCCGAACCAGTGGAGCCACTGCTCTGTGAGGAAATGTTGAGCATGCTACTTCACCTCTGTGGACCTCGGTGTCCTCTTTGGCAACTCTTTGTTTTAAACACAGTCAACCTTCAAGTTGAGTGCTGCGAACTGCATTGTGTCCCTCCCCCTCCAGAGTCATACGTTGAAGCCTTAAAGTGACCATATGTGGAAATAGGGCCATTAGGGGGGTAATTAAGGTTAAATGAGGTCATCATCATTGGATGGGCTCCTAATCTTATAGGGCTGGTGGCATTCTCAGAACTGAGAACCAGAGTTCTTATCCCCTCTCTGCCCTGTGAGGACATAGCAAGGCTATCTACAGGCCACGAATGGCCCCCACAGCAGATGGCAAATCTGTTGGCACCCTGATCTTGGCTGGATTTCTGAGTTCCGGGACTCAGAAATAAGCACCTTTTGTTGAAACCACTCAGCCATGGTGTTTCTTATGGTGTCTCAAGCTGACCAAGATTGTACTTCCATTTCAACACAGGCTGTAATAGAAGTTAGCTCTTTCCCATGCACAGTGTTGTGGGAGGCACTTAACTTTCCTTCAATAAATCAGGACCATGCAATGTCTCACAGTCATTGTTCTAGGTGGAAAAATTCCATATACAGTTATATGAAAGAAACTAGAGAACATGTTGGAAACACTGGTGACCACCATGTCTTGGAGAGCAAATCTCTTTCTTTTTTTTGGTCAAATCCAATTGTACTTTTCTGTTGTTTTATGCCATATTAAATATAGTCAGTGCTAGAGAGAGAGATTGTGACTGTACTATGTCAAGGGTCTGTTTCAGTTAGAACAAAAGCTGCATCCTTTGAAGATAAGGATCTCTGGGGGCTGTCATTGTGGTGCAGCAGGTTAAGCCACTGCCTGCGACACTGGCATTCCATATGGGAGCTTGTTGGAGCCCTGGCTGCACTCTGATCCAGCTTCCTGCTATAACATGCCTGGAAAAACCAACGAAAGATGACCATGTCTTTAGGCCCCCACACACATAGGAAACCCAGATGGAGTTCCAGGCTCCTCACTTCAGCCTGGTTTTATCCTTGGTGTTGCAGCTGTTTGGTGAGTGAATCAGCAGACAGAAGACTCTCTCTCTCTCTCTCTCTCTCTCTCTGTATCTCTGCCTTTCAAATAAATAATTCTTAAAAAAAAAAAAAAAAGAAGTAAAACAAGGCTTTTCTAGGCAGATGTGTAGTTAACTTCCTCCCAGTGAATGTATTCAACATCCTGTCTTGGAAGATGCTATTGCTGAACTAGTTCATGTGTTTTTGCTTCCCCAAAGACTTGCCAGAAGCTACAGTGTGACTGACCAAAGTTCACCCTTTGCCCTAAGTTTGCCTGCTCAGTAAACCTATCTCCACTGAGTCCGTCCTCCCCTCCTCTCTGCACTGGTCTTATGGAGTGGATGTGATGGACTCATTCAACTGACCCTTCTGAAGGAAGTGGTACCTCACTCTTGGAAGTTTCCGTTTCCATAAGCAACACACCATTAAGAACAACAAGGGACCCTCAAATTATAAAGGGCAATCTCCAACCCTGAAAGCAGGCTACTGTAACCCACGCTGCGGTCTGCAGCCAACATCTATCTAATCACAGACACCCAGCACCCTCTCTCTGGAGAAACTACAGGTAGTTCTCAGGGTTGTGAAGGGGTGACAACAAAGTGGATAAGGAGAGTGCTTAAAATCCCGGTAACATGGGTGAGGTTCTGCCCCATTTCCAAAAATAAAAGAATGGTGTGGAAGAGCTGGCAGAGTCCCAGGACAATGGCAGAGCTGGGAATGAAATGCAGCCTCCTTTTCCCTGTGCCAGCCTGGGCTCCATGTGTGTGGGGAGCAACTCAGACTAGACTGTTACTCGAATTAAGACTTATTCTATGCATCTGCTTTCCCACAATATGGCGCTGAGAAGGGAGTAACAACTTCTACGCAGCTGACTCCAGTTCAACCATTAAACTGTAGGACTTACTCCTGATTGGAGGAGAGCAGCGTACTCGGCGTGTGGGTAGCAGAGTTGGGATTGGTGGAAGAGGACTATAAAGGAGGAGAGAGACAACATGCACCAGGAACATCTATCTGAAGGAACACCTGTGCAGCCCCCGAGAGAGCCGGCCGGAGGTGTGCCGCTCCCCCACGGAAGTGGGGAAAGTGGCAGGGGGAACCACCCTTCCACGGAGGTGGAAGGGACGGTAGCCAACCCGGGAAGAACCAGCAGAAAACCCGGGGAGGGCCGAGCAGACAAAAGAACAGCGCAGGGTCCTGTGTCGTTCCTCCACGAAGACGGGGAGCGACATAATGGTGCCGTGACTCGGATATGAAGCCTAGGCAGGGTTTAGTGTCGTTCCTCCATGAAGAGGGGGAGTGACACATGTGGCAGACAGTATATAAAGGAGGCACAGGAAGACAACTGCACTTCACCAAATGGCTTATAACAAGCTTCAGATCAGCCTATGGGCAGTGGAAGTCAGCAGGTGCTTTTAGGAGCATGACAGAAGGACTAGGGCCACTGACCCATCCATTCCCAGACAGTTTATCATTCCAAGGTTAACCACTGAGATCAAAAAGTCCCCTGCTAATAACGCAGTTATCTCGGAGGCAGAGAACCCAATGCTTTGGACCCATTCATCTGGATTCTTTCTCTGCTGTGGAGGCTTCAATGGCATGGGACACCAGCTAGGAAAGTTCTGATTTGGGCAGGAAGGGGTGGGTCCTGGTAATGTCCAATTGCCCCAGGAGGCAAACCTGGGTGGAGGGACAGAGTAGAGCCCATAAAACCGGTATTATAGAAGCATGCAAACAGCAAGTGACAGGGGCACTTAGAGCAGAATGCAAGAGTGCTTGGAAATGGGAAGCATTTGAAGAGAATCCATTACAGCAAACATATCCCAGGAGAGCAATTCCCCTGCTGGCCATGCAGGAGCAGAGCAGCCATTCACGGGCAAGGAACTGCACAGCTCTCTCAGTAGCTTTGCCTTTCAAAGAAGCAGGTCTCTTGATCACTTTGATATATTCACAAATGCTGCCACAAAAGATGTTTACAACAAGAATTGCCATGTTTTCAGAAGCTTTAACCAGGCCAGTGCCTTTCTGTAAATAACAAAAAGCAACATCATTTAATAGGTGGTATCAGCTACTACATCATGTGCAAGGCTTCTATTTGCTTATAAAGAAAACAAATATTTGCTTATAAAGAAAATAGTGGAATTGGTTAAACCAGTTTTTCGGGCCAGTGCAGAAAAGTAAAAATCAGTGTTTTTTTCACCTGTTCTGTTCCATTAAAGTGAAATCGTGCAGAAAGCCATGTTTCCGTACGTCTGTATGTTTTTAAAAGGTGGAGGAATGCCAACTGAACAATTATCAAAATATGATGCCCACTATGGCTATTCAATGCGTGTGGCACATGTGCTAAAGTTTCTTAAGGGGTCTCCTAAGGTCTCCCCAGTCAATGCTGTACCGAAGCTTGCTTTCTCCAGGTTTCACAACCCCTCAGACAGTGACATCACATCAGTAGCTTGAACTCAGCCGTGGTGGCAGCACTCCCCCCACAATTACCAGTAAACTCCACGAACCAGGGCTCCCTGCTCCCCAGAACTCCACCAGTCAAACACCCACCTGCAACCGCCGTGGCTGAAGAGCAGAAATAGGCACCTTCAGGATCTCTGCTTGTTTTTGCATAGGCCAAAGTGAAAACGTCTTGTATGCTTTTAAAATGGCTGGAGGGGGCCGGCGCCGCGGCTCAACAGGCTAAGCCTCCGCCTTGCAGCGCCGGCACATCAGGTTCTAGTCCCGGTCAGGGCGCCGGATTCTGTCCCGGTTGTCCCTCTTCCAGGCCAGCTCTCTGCTATGGCCCGGGAGGGCAGTGGAGGATGGCCCAAGTGCTTGGGCCCTGCACCTCATGGGAGACCAGGAGAAGCACCTGGCTCCTGGCTTCAGATCAGCGTGGTGCACCGGCCGCAGTGCGCTGGCCACGGCAGCCATTGGAGGGTGAACCAACGGCAAAGGAAGACCTTTCTCTCTGTCTCTTTCTCTCACACTGTCCACTCTGTCAAAAATAAAAAATAAATTAAACAACGGCTGGAGGAACCACCCTCAACCACCACTCCCAAACACAGAGCAACCTTGGGAATGAGATTTTGCTACCGGTTTGATCTTGTTTCTTAATGAAGTTGGCCTAAACTGACAAGGCACAACATAGTGTTTATATACAGCACTCATAGTGTGATAAATTCATTTCATCAACCACTACTATTGTTAGGGCACAGTAATCATAAGTAACATCAAGCCACTTCATACACTTCTTGTGTTGTTAAAATTTAAAACAAGAAACAAGATCTCCATTCCTACACCAAGGTGCAGCATGATAGATATATTTGGAACTCAAATGATAGTTATAGCAGCAATGCTTGGCTTCACTGCAGGTGCAAAAGAACTCTCTGTATTTCAAAATCCATTTAAGCTTTCCAGATCTGAAACAAGATGACACATAACTCATTTCTCCCTGCTTATCTCCCCTAAATATAACCAAGCAACCCTGGAGACTGTAATACATGATGATAAAAGCCTAAGAAGAAGGTGGAGAACTGACTGGGGACCCCAACACTTGAGGAAAAACAAAGAAGTCTCTTGATTTTTCTAAGAGATCAGAGAAGCCTGCAATTCAGACCCTCCAACGGCATAGACAGAGACAAGGAGATAAGTCTCTCTCCTGCTCTCTCCTCCAAAAGCCTGGGAAAGGGTCCTGATGGAAAGCCAACCAGGGCACAGGTAAGCTGGCCAACCCTCCTGCAGAGTCATTCTCAGCAGTACCAAACACTGCCCTGCCCTCTATCCAGCTGCATAAGGAGACAACCCAGTGACAGAAGGTGGGCCAGCAGGGACTGGTGCTATGGTTAGTAGGTTAAGCGTCCACCTGTGATGCCAGGATCTCATAGGGCTGCCAAGTTGGAATCCTAGCTGCTCCACTTCTGATTTAGCTCACTGTTAATCGCCTGGAAAAGCAGTGGAAGATGGCCCAAGTGCTTGGACCCCTGCACCTGTGGAGGCCCAGAAGCAGCTCCTGGCTCCTGGCTTCACATAGGCCCAGCCTTGGGCATTGTGGCCATTTGGTGAGTGAACCAGCAGGCAGAAGACCTCTCTCTCTGTCTCTCTCTGTCTCTCTCTCTCTATCTTTCTCTCTGTAACTCTGCTTCTTAAATATAAAATATTTTAAAAATATATTTATATAAATAAATATTAAAGAGAAGAAGAAGAAGGTGGAGGAGGAGGAGGCAAAGGAGAAGAAGAAAGAGGAGAAGGAGGTGGGCCAGCAACACAAGGCAACCCAGGAAACTGCCTTTCATCCCTCCAGGCAAGATCAGCAGGGATGGGAGGGGGCCCCAGAAGTGCCACAAGAATGAGTCAGACCAGAAGAGCATTGCAAAGGAACTAAGCAGATATAGAACTAGAGCCAATAGAAGTAGGCCAGGACTTACAATCTGAAGCTGAACAGGGTGACTGCCTGCTAAAACAGAAAACATAAATAGATAAGAGTCTAGTCTGCATATGCAAAAAAATAAATGTCCAAGATACAATCAAAAATCACTCTAAGGTATCTTTCTGTGAAGGGAGGAGAGAACTTCCACATAGTCAAACTATGGCCTTGTCTAAATGAGATCGGAGTTGGTGAACTCAAGAGGCTTCCATAGCCTTGGAAGCTCATGACAAGAGCCTCGGGTGATTACTGACATCATAAATAAGAGTGTCAATTGTTAAATCAACAATAGGAGTCACTGTGCACCTACTTCCCATGTAGGATCTCTGTCCTTAATGTGTTGTACTATGCGAATTAACGGTAAAACTAGTACTCAAACAGTACATTATACTTTGTGTATCTGTGTGGGTGCAAACTGTTGAAATCCTTACTTAGTATATACTAAGCTGATCTTCTGTATATACAGATAATTGAAAATGAATCTTGATGAAGAATGGGATGTGGCCGGCGCCGCGACTCACTAGGCTAATCCTCCGCCTTGCGGCACCGGCACACTGGGTTCTAGTCCCGGTCGGGGCACCGGATTCTGTCCCGGTTGCCCCTATTCCAGGCCAGCTCTCTGCTGTGGCCTGGGAGTGCAGTGGAGGATGGCCCAGGTGCTTGGCCCTGCACCCCATGGGAGACCAGGAGAAGCACCTGGCTCCTGCCATCGGATCAGCGCGGTGCGCCGGCCGCGGTGGCCATTGGAGGGTGAACCAACGGCAAAGGAAGACCTTTCTCTCTGTCTCTCTCTCACTGTCCACTCTGCCTGTCAAAAAAAAAAACAAAAATCAAAGGAAAATAGAATGGGATGTGAGAGGGAGTGGGAGATGGGATGGTTGTGGGTGGGAGAGAGGTTATGGGGGGAAAAGCCACTATAATCCAAAAGTTGTACTTTGGAAATGTATGTGTATTAAATAAAAGTTGAAAAAAATCACTCTAAGTAGCACCTTTTTTGCCTAGTGGCTAATGCACCAGTTAAGACACCCATATCCCGTATCAGAGTGCCTGGAGGATAAAGCCTCAGCTCCAGTTCCTGATGCCAACTTCCTGCCACAGCAGATCTTAGGAGGCAGTGGTGATGGCTCAAATACTTAGATTCCTGTCAGTCACATGGGATACTTGGACTGAGTTCCCACTCCTAGCATTGGCCCGTATCTGGAGCCACTGTTGGAATCGGGAGACTGAACCAGCAAATAGGAGCTCACTCTCTCTCCCTCTCCTCTCTTTTTCAAATAAAATAATTATTCATTATATAAAGAATTGGTGTAATCATAATGTCAATGAGAAACAAGTAACTGATTCAAATATGGAGTTGAATCAGAAGATGGAATTACTGGAAAAGGATTTTAAAGCAGCCATCTTAAAACTGCTTCAAGAACCACTTACAAATTGTCTTAAATAAACCTATGCAAAAATCAAAAATCTCAGCAGGGAAATTATTTAAGAAAAAAATGAGGATTGTAGAACTAAAAAATACAACAACCAAAGTTTTGAAACTATTTGATGAACTCAATAATACAGTGGTGGTGACAAATGTTACACTCAGTGAGCCTTTAGACAAACCATTAGCGTTTATTTGATCTAAACAACACCACAGAGAAAACAGACTTTTAAAATGAGCAGAATGCGGCCTGTGCCGCTGTTCACTAGGCTAATCCTCCACCTGCAGCACTAGTACTCTGGGTTCTAGTCCCGGTTGGGGCGCTGGTTCTGTCCCCGTTGCTCCTCTTCCAGTCCAGCTCTCTGCTGTGGCCCGGGAGGGCAGTGGAGGATGAACCAAGTGCTTGGACCCTGCACCCGCGTGGAAGACCAGGAGGAGGCACCCGGCTCCTGGCTTCAGATCAGTGCAGCGCGCCAGCCTTAGCAGCCATTTGGGGGGTGAACCAACGGAAGGAAGACCTTTCTCTCTGTCTCTCTCTCACTGTCTAACTCTGCTTGTCAAAAAAAAAAAAAAATCAGAATACACAAAGGTTCAGGAACCTGGGAGATAACAACAAAAGATTGAACAGTCACATTATCAGCATCCCAAAGGAAAAGGCAAAAGACTGTGGGCCTAAAAGCACCTCAACTTTGTTAAAATACATAAACAGATAGATTCAAGAAGCTGAGAAAAATATTCATATGGTAAACCCAAAGGAATCTACACAAAAAGATACTACTTGAATTTCTGAAAATTAAGAACAGAGAGAAAAACTTGTAAAATAGGGAGAAATGATGTATTGCTTGTAAAAGAACAGCAATTCCTGCCACAGTAAATTTGTTACCTAAAATCACGGAGACCAGGAAAAGGTGGCACAATAATTTTCAACTGTGAATCCTATATCTGGGTAAACAATGCTTAGGGAATGAAGGAGAAATACAGAAATGCTCAAAACTTGCAAGCTAAAGAAAGCAAAGACGATTTGTCATTAGCATACCCACCCTAAAAAAGGCTGACTAAATGAAGCTTCCCAAACAAAAAGAAAATAACAAAAGAAGGCTAGAAATTTCAGGAAGAAAATCAACAATGGAAAGGGTGAAACAGAAGTAAACATAAGAGAGCCCTCTTTAAAGAGTTATTTTTATCATATTTTATGGTTGAAGCAAAATTTTAAACACTGATGTGGTATTCAATGTATGGGAAGGAAAAGCGAAAATTGTATCTCAAAGCAAGGAAGGGGATGATAGCTCAGACTAATAGTTAAGACACTGGTTAGGATGTCCTCATTCCATATTGCAGTACCTGGGTTTAATTCCCAGTTCTAGCTGCTAATCCCAGCTTCCTGTGCATGTGAACCTGGAAGGCAGCAGTGATGGCTCAAGTAGTTGGATTCCTACCACTCATCTGAAAGACCTGGGATGACTTTCTGGCTCCTGATTTCACCCCTCCTTCCCAGGCCATTGCCGGCCTTAGAGAGAGCGCCATCAGTTGGGAGCCCTCTCTGCCTAGCTCTTCTCAGGGGTCTCAGTGAAAGTAAAGTCCGTAAAAACACCATTCAAAGTGGGAAATGGCAGCACCAGGAAGCTGTGGTAAGTTACCTATGTATAAGCTGATACACAGACACACAAGAAAGAAAGCTATGCAGTATAACACTAAAAAATTGTAAAGACATCAAAATGGAACTCTAAAAAATGTTCAAGTAATACATAGGAAAGCAAGGATAAAAAGAAAGAAATTATAGAAAACAAACAGAAGAAATAACATAAAGCCAAACCTAAGCCCTGCAATAGCAAGTTATTTTCTATGTAAACTGACTAAATACACCAATGTAAGTGCACAAATCAGTACAGTTGATTTAAAAGGATACAATCCAAATATATGTTGCCTACAACAAAGTTATTAAAAGCATAACAACAAAGGTACATTTGAAGTAAAAGAATAGAAAAAGATATAGAAGGTATGCATTAATTTTTAAGCAGGAATGGGTATATTAATTAAACATAAATTATATTTCAAAAAAAGAAATTTAACAGGATAAAAACAGGGGAATTTAATCAATCCATCAAGATTACATGATGCATCAAACACCAGAAGTAATAGAGTTGGAGGGAGAAAAAAAATTCGAGCTGAGGACCTCAAAACCCTACTCTCAGCAGTTGATAGAAAGTCGACAAGCTTATGGAGGAACTGAGCAGCTGCCAACCAACAGGGTCCAACTGACATTTACAGAACACACCACCCAACAACAGTAAAACACACATTCTGTTAAAATGTCCGTGCAACTTTCATTAAGAACGTTGAGTCATAAAACAAACCTTACCAAATGAAGAAAATCGAATCATACAATGCATTCTCTGGTCACAGTGAAATCAGACTACAAATAAATAACAAAAAGGCAAGAGAAAAATTTCCAAATACTTGAGAATTAAATACACTTTTATAATAATCCATGAGTTGAAGGAGTCCAAAGGAAATTACTTTAAATAGTTACTCCTGAATGGAAATTAAAATACCACATATGCAGTGATAAGAGGAAAATTTATAGCACAAAATGCTGTTAAAAGAAAATATCTCAAATCAAAAAACTAAGTTTCAATTTTATGAAACATGTAAAATCAAAATAAAATAAGGTAAAATCAATCAAAAGATAGGAAACAATATAAGGCAGAAGGCAGTGGAGTGAAAACAGGAAAACAATAGTGTATATTAATAGTTTAAAAAAGGTGGTTCTTTGGTTAAAAAAATCAGTGAAATTGACAAACTTCTAAGCAAGCTGACAAAGATATAAAAATAGGCAAATCATCAGGATCAAGAATAAAACAGGGGGGCCGGTACTGTAGCATAGCCAGTAAAGCTGTTGCCTACAGCACTGGCAGCCCATCTCGGCACCAGTTTGAGTCCCTGCTGCTAGACTTCCAATCCAGCTCTCTGCTATGGCCTGGGAAAGCAGTAGAGGATGGCCCAAGTCTTTGGGCCCCTGCACCTGTGTGGGAGACACAGAAGAAGCTCCTGACTCCAGGCTTCAGATTGGCATTGCTCCGGGCATTGCAGCATCTGGAGAGTGAACCAGAGGATAGAAGACCTGTCTCTCTCTCTCTCTCTCTCTCTCCCCCTCCCTCTCTCTGTAACTCTGCCTTTCAAATAAAATAAATAAATCTTTTTTTTTAAAAAAAGAATAAAACGGGTTAAAGACTCCACAATATAACAAAGAAGTACTGCTACTTACAACTATATTTATAAATTGGATAATTCAGAAAAAGAGACCAATTCCTGGAAAACTCAAGCTACCAAAACTCATCCAAGATGAGACAGTTAAGTTAAATAGTCCTATAATTGTTCAATTGAGTGTGTAATTTTTAAGTCCCCAAAAAGAAATATTCAGGCCCAAAATATTAAGAACACTTAACCATTTTACAAAAACTCTTCCAGAAAACAGAAGAGAAACACTTCCAAAATTATACTATGAACAACCCAACCCTACACCCCTAAATTTAATGACATAAATGGAATATATTAATTACTTCAGCAGTACAAACTACCACAAATCATTCAGTATGAAATAGATAATTTTGTTAGGTCTATACTTAGAGATTTGAACTTAAAATTTTAAAACTTTCCAAAAAAGGCATCTCTTATAGATGATTTCCTTAGGAAATTACACCAAATGTTCAAAGAAGGATTAATACAAGTATAGAAATCTCTTCCAGAAAACAAGAAAAGGAATAATTCCCAATTCACTTACAAAAATAGTGTAAAATAGGATTATTATGTAACCAAAACCAAGCAAACAGAGTACAAAACAAATCACTGACCAATATTCTTCATGGACAGAAATGTAAAAATTTTAATTAGCAAATACAATCAGCAAAATATACAAAAAATATACACAATGATCAACTGGGGTTTGTATTTCAGGAATGCAAGGCTGGTTCAATACTCAAAAACCAATCAATGCCACTCA